CACACGTCCTAGCGCTTGTCATGCGTATTGAGAGATCAACTTCATGCGGTTGCAAACCAGTGCATGTAAAAACTGTATGCCCCGTATCCAGCCAAAAACAAAGAACAAGTGCTCTCATGCTTGCTAAACAACGTTAGAACAATCAATCTGTCTGTCATGCCTTCGTAAAGGCATCCTTGTTTTGTGCGCATCATGATATCGCAGTGTAACATGCCTCTGTATTGTCTTCGTGAAGTGACAGTAAACAGTTGGTAGTTTGTGCTATTTCCTGTTTCCCTTCTCGTTTTCCTTCAGCTTGCGCAGCAAGTCTTATTTTCAAGTATGAACCAACTAGTCTGCAAAGAAATGTCATTCCATTCGGGCCGATGGCAAGGTCAGAGTGGCCAGACTCTAGCTAAGAGTTGTAGCTAGATGTAGCAAGAACTGTAGATTTTGTTATTGCTTGATTTTTAAAACGCAGTGTTTTATGTAGGGTTTTCACTGTTTTTTTTTTCTTGTAGCAAGGTCGACAGCTGGGCTAGTTTGTGTGGTTCCGTATAATATAAAGTGACGCGAATTGCAGGACAAGAGGTTGGCACCTACAACACTTAGAAAGTATACAAGAAAGTCACCCAGATGAACTGTGCAATCGCCGCCACTGAAGTAGAGCTGATGCAACCCTCCCCAGCATTCTTAATGAAGAGTGCTTCCATAACTATGCATGCCACGTCATCCCTGTGCCTAAATATAACTGTAGTTTTATGAAGAAGATGTGGGCACTTACAGTAGGCAGCCAAATCTGACCCATAATTGGCACTCAAATTATTTTTATGCTTTCTAAGGCGGGTGTTTTAGCAGTGGCCCGTCTGTCCAATATACTAGACCACTTGTGACTGTAATATTAAGGACAACACCTGAAGCACATGGCTCAAACTGATCGTGATGTTTTGTGCTACATTCCCATTTCTGAGAGGTAGGGCTTTTTTCAAGTTTACTGCAGTGCAAATCTTCCAAAGTTTGTTAGGGGTGCTAAGAACCACCGGTACGCTGTTACAGGCACCAACATTTTTTAGACAGTGGGAAAGCTTGTGCCCATATGGAATGACAGCAGCATTTTTTGTTGTTGTTGTTTTCATCCTTATGTTGCGATACAAACTTTGCTTTAACCTGCTTCAAAAGCTTTTCACGTTGGGCTATCGAAGTCTGAAACAGGAAGGCAGAAACCAACAGCCTATCTAAGGGAGAAGCTAGTGCTAATGAGGTGCCTACATGATTTAGTGAGTGCTGAATGAAATCGAGAAATCCCAATGACTGTTTTAGAATGTGATGACTTGCAACTTAAAAGTTGGTTTTGTGATCTGGGGTGGTCATGCAAAAATGCTAATTGGCGATACAGAAACTGTAAGAGTTAGGTTCAAACATGAAGGTGAGATGAAAATTAACTCTCCAGAAAACCTTCATAATATTTACAACAAGCCTTGGAAAAATAAGAAAATCATCTACATAACGAAAAATTTGCTTGCTTAAGCTGTTCAAATTATGCTTTGGCATCCTGTCAAATTTGCCCTGATAGATGTCACAAGATGGACGCCGCCCCAGACCTTACACAGAACCCTTACGACTGTAAGCACACTTTTCCATCCCATCCTACAAGGCTCGACACAAGGTAGAAGGACAGTAAATTCCATAAACCTTCAACACTGATGCCGGCCTTACTACGGAAACAAACTTCATTGTTATTCTCACAGATACAATCCTTGACCCTTTGTTTAAAAAGACAGTCACGTGGCAAGGAGTAAAAAAAAAAAAAAAACATCTTTGACATCTGTACTGAAAGCAGAGCATGCAGCAAGGTTGCTCACCGAAACTGAACAACTGCTTTGTAATTCTGAATACCAAGTGGGTGAGCAATGTCAAGAGCTGATAGTTGCTTCTGAAGATAGCCATAAACTGCATACTGGCATGTTCTCCGTTCAGACATTATTGTTCTGAAAGGCATGTTTTTTGTGAGTTTTGATAGAAAAGAAGATTTCCAAGTGAACACCTCTTACCGTCTTCACCTCATTAGCAGTTTTGGTGAGGTCAAGTTCATCTAAAAGAACTAGGGCATTTGCCTCAACCTTTTTTTCTTTAAGTGAGAGAACTTGAAATTTTTCTAGTCTAATTTCGCTACAATGAATTCCACTACAGCGAAATATCTGCCACAACGAATGATCTTTGAGTCCCCGTCAGCTATTCTTAGAAAACAATGTGAAAAATGTCTCATCACAACGAATACTTTTCCTAAATATTTTGGCTTTAACCAAGTTTTCGTGAGTACTATTCTATCTGATTGCCGCAAAATGGCGATACCAACTCGGCCATTTCTCAATGGCTCGTTACATCCAGCTAGAGCGCACGGCAGTACCACAACAATCGTGTTTTCATCGGATACAAGCTTTCTTCCACCACACGCACATTCCGCTAAGTTTATAGCCATTGTGATGCTCGGCGACAGCTCGCCCATCCACCATGATGGTGGATTTGATGTAGTACGTGCGGGCCACAGCAGAATTGTGATCTGCAAGAACCCCTCGCCCCCGCCATATGTACTCTACATTGCGCTCAAAATAAAACTGCTGTTCGTTGTCACTAGCCCTAGAACCGTGAATGACAACCATGCATCGGAAGGCGCACACTTGAGCAGTTCACACCTAGTCCAAGCGTAAATGCATTCTGCCGCAACCACTGTGAATATAAATGCGGTCGTGTCAAACAGTTATGGGCGACTCAACCCACTATTTTTTTTTTTTTGTAACGATGTGAACAGAGATAGCAACGACGCAGTTCTTAATCATGCGCACGGCCAGTGAAACGCGCACAAATCGAAAACGAAACTAGTTTGCCACAAACACTGCGCAGGAAACAGCGGTCGCTACCGTCTTGTTCATCGATAGCAAATACGATCCAAAGGTGTGCAGCTAACACAGCCGGAGATGAAAGGCAATAAAGTCATAAAACGACTGAAGTGCTACTGCTTTCCTGTCGTTCGTTTATGGCCACGGTAATGTGGAGCTTCGTCACTTTTACTTGCAGTTATGACTTGGCCAATAGCGAAGCTTTGGCATGCTTGAACGCGGTGCTGTGCGCTCAGCACATCTCAAGGGTCGTTCGTAAATTTTTTTTCTGTATAACCCACCCCTGCATATAACCGGCGACCCCGATCGCAAACCGTGGGAGGAAGAAAAACTGCCCCCATATTGACGCAAGGAAGCCTTCTTTGCATAGCCGTGAAGTCGTGCCGTGAAACAAACTTGCGCACCAAACGTTCTGTGTAATTCGCACCCCGACACTCCAAATTATCTGTATATTGTGATCACGTTATAAGCGAGAAAATACGTTCACTTAGTGTTTAGCCAGACACGTCCGAGTTGGAGAGAGTTCAATGCATACGCTTGCTGATAACAAAGGACGAGCCATAATCACCACGTGTCTTGTTAATTTCGTTGTAGCGGGATTTGACTATATGTGTTGAAGTAAAGATTCCAAGCTGGTGAGGAGTGGCAAAATTAACAAGAGGGCGTAGGCATCCTTCGTCGCGACGCCTACAAGAAGAACGGCCAAGAACACCAGCACACTCTTCGATGCACCCGAGCTTTTGGTCAGGAATTAACAAAGAAACAGTCCTAGCAATAAGCACCTTTTCGAAAGTTGTAGGGGTGGTGTCAAAGCAGACCTTTGGACCCAATTTAAGTAGCTTTCTAACTGTTCGGAACCTGAGCTCCGCCCAAGGTCAACACCGTCACTTACACTGCAAGATTCTTAGTCTTCCTAGGCAGGTGGAGAAGCGCTGAAATCCACAAAAAGTCTAATTAGCTGCGAATTCTTGTACCATTCACTTAATGCTCGGTAGTAAAGCATGTGATCGTACTTGATGAAGCACACAGTTCGAAAGCATTTGTTGTAGAATTGCACCTGGTGCCACTGTTCTGAAGAGAGGATCCGAAAGAGTCTCTGGGAATGGCCCACTGATAGTTGCAGGGAACTACAGAAGAAATGAAGGTCGGTCGGCAGAGGCCGTGCTTGGCATACTAGGTGCTTAGCCTGGCCTTACTCACTCTTATGGCAATTGGCAATGTTAGCAGATCTGGCTGAGCCACATTGAAGAGAGCTCAATGTACAAGAAATATATTTTAGCAAGGTTGACAGCTGGGCTAGTTGGTATGGTTCCATAGTATTTAAAGTAATGCAAACTACAGGACAAGGAGATGCAATTATTGTAGGTGTCTACAGCTTGTCCTGTAGTTTGTGCTACATTAAATAATATAGTGTGCTTTTTTGTTTATAATTAAACCACATTTGCTGCACCTCCTAGCGTCCTCTGAATCGATCTCCAAAGCACACACCCCAAAAATCTGTGACACAGCACTAAGCTGTTGATTCAAATATTGCAGATTTTATATGAGCCACGGTGGTCACATTTGAATGAAAACAAAATGCTAAAAGAACTTGTTGTTGGGCTAGTTGGTAGAGCATTTCTAAAAGTTAATTCGAGCGTGAAAATACGACACGATCACTCACACATGCACACACGTGTGTGTTTGATGCATGGGTGTGTGCGTGTGTGAGTGATCGTGTCGTGTTTTCGCGCTCGAATGAACTTTTAGAAAATGCTAGAAGCCTGTTTCTTAAGGTTTGTGCATATTTAGTAAACTCAGGTGGTCGAAATTTTCAGAGTCCTCCATTACAGTGTTTCTCATAGCCATGTTATGGTTTGGGCCTAAAAACTCCACTATAAATTGAAGGGCTCCACATAAAGGTCAATACTTCTCATCCATGTATAATTTTTCTTGTCTTTGCATTTACTTTCTTAGTTATTTGCAAATCTACTGAGTAATTCTACTAGATCATCAAGAGTGTGCCTGGGTAACACAGAGACAAAGCAAAAAAAAATTCTGATGTTTTCTTCGAGGGGCATGTGCAAAATATATCAAAACTGTTTTCAAAAATTTGACATTGCAATTTTACTTATTTTGATGCAGGCCTGGGTGCAAGTCCTCATTAGGCGTGGCGCCACGAAAAAGTGATGTAGGCACACCAAAGCATAATGCTTCCTCTGTCAGCAAAGTTAAGCCAGAGCACGCGCATGGCAAGGTAAAAAATGACAGCACACCAAGCCACAAGTCTTCGCCAGCATCAAGTAATACCAAAGCACAGAAAGCTGATACAAACACTACAAACAGCCAAAGTGTACCGAGAATAAAAAGTAAGTCGGACAACAAGTCTGATAGTAAGCATCAAGACGGGATGCACGACAAGCAGCACAAACAGCCCTTGACCAAAGCCAAAGGTGAAAGCAGAACAGATGACCCTAAGGGAGAAAGCAAGGACCATCCAAGAGGAGAGCCAAAAGGCGGAGGAGGGGCCAACACGTCAGCTGGGACAAAACCGTCTAAAGCAAAAGAACTGCCTGGGCGCAAATCTGAAGGGAAAGGTAAAGCAGAGGACGACAACACTTCAGGTAAGTTAACTTGCATAGACTGGATATTCTTTAGAAGTTCAGCTAGTGGCTGTTGTTTCGTCATTAATGACGATCACTCGAAAAGAGGACCAGACTGGGACAGAAAAGAATGTAGAACTTCCCTTATTTGTGCATGGCCAGGTATATTGATTTGAATCGGGCACATCAGCAGGTGTCTAGGCTTTTCATGCCTCCGTTATGAAAGCTGATTTATGGCTGGCCTGTGCTTCTGCTACTACTGATTTGCAAAACATTAACATCATGACAATGCAGCGAAATATTGCACAGTGGTGCAGCACCTCTTGATGAGCAGCTATGGCTGCCCTTTATAAAAGCAGTCACAGCTGAAAGCAGCTTCAATACACCACATCAATGCCACAGCCAATAAGTTGGTTAGTATGGTGAGTTAGTATGGAGCTCTGATGCACAATTGCAGTGCGCATCATTGGTACTGCACTGTCTGAAGAGAGATTTCACAGTGGGATACCAGTGAAAACTTGCTACAGCACTGTTGCAATCGACACTCTTCTGGAAAATTGATCCCCTTGATCATGGAGCTGGGCAGAACAGGAAATTCTTGAACCTCTGTCACAATATGTAACACTCACCACATGCACACCAGTGGAGTACACGACTCCCATACACTGCATGACATATAGACAATTTTCTGCAGCAGCGCATGGGCTTGGCCATGTTTGGTCATGTGATGTTAACTGGCCTTCCCCCAGCCCTGGCCTATGCATTGGGCCATTGAAGCGGTCCTGGTAGTATCACACAGGCTGAATGCAGCACGGTGTAAGCTAGTCACATGCTTGTGTGGCAAAACATTCTTCTACTTGTAATTGCCAATAAGTTGATGATGTTGAGACATTTGTTTTTATTGAGCACATGTACTATTGTGTACTAATACCTAATATCTTTTTGTACTTGGCAATTAGAGTGTATGCCTTTAATTGTTTTGTTGGTGAACGCCAGAAACTGGGCTTACAAGTCAACATGGCAGCCCCCATGCAGACGCGGCCACCAGCTTCAATCGAAACTCACACTTGCTGTTTGCCGACTGTCCTGACAGTAATGAAATGGGGAAATAGGCTATCGCTTTGTGCCATCTCAAGCTGTGGTCCGAGCATCGGGTATTTTCTGTCCGTGCAACTGAGATCAGCTTTTTTTATTTAGCTGCACCTCCTAAGTCTTGTTTCTGGGAATTTGAGAATGAATCTTATGGCATCTTCAGCTGGCGGCACCGCTGACGTTTTTCGTGCACTTGTGCGGGGCTGTACGTTCGTCTGAGCACCACGCGTGCATTGCCACATGTTCGGCTGGGCTGGCCACGACACGAGTGCACGTCACCGAGCTTCGTTGATTTATTAAGTCCTGGACCACTCGTTGGCGGCCCGTAGATGCCTCGGCTCATAGGCGGCTACGTCACATGCGCGTGATACTCCTGAGCCAGCCCGAGCGGCCTCGGGCTTTCTGCGTGCTTGATGCTGTCTGCGTCCGCCGTGGAGTCTGCTATGCCGTCTGCTCCCTTCATGGCTGTGACACAGGCCACAATGCCGACCCAATTCCAACCTCAACAGCAGTTAGGTTGTGAATTATACCTATATTCGTTGTGGTGCAACTTACTGTAAATGAACTACTCAGGCAAATGCGTCTTACACCCGCACGATGTTCCATCGCTGTTTCACCTAGCGAGTACAGTGCGTGTTTGCTTGACCATCGCGAATACTTACGTGCTCGGCGTGGCTTAGAACATTGATGACAAGAACTGGGTGCGCAAACCATGTGAAATCTAGAAACATGCGAGAAGCGGACATAAATGCAAAGAGAGAGCTAGAGCGTGTCGAAAATTTCCTGTGTCTAACTTAAGATGGTCGCACAGGCATGCGCACCATGCTGTCGTCTGCCAGCTGTCCGAAAGAAATAATAGTTCAGACAGTCTTGGGCTGCCCGTAGTCTGCCAGGCGCGCGAGAAACGAACATGCGTCCGAGCGATCCCGAACCAGTGGGCTAGTTTATCCCCGAGAAAGCTTTCGGTTGGTCCCCGAGAAAAATAAATGCAGCGCCGGTGTCTGGGGCTGTCCGGAGCTGTCCGGGACGTGTGAAACAATGAAGCTCACCGAAGCACCACGAAGGTTCACAGTGGAGCATGGTGCAATCCCATCAGCCCGCGCGTACTGACAGACAGCGCGGTTGGACACAGTGACGTTTCATCATTCCAGGCGTAATTTACAGCTTGCGTTGCCGCATTACACGGCCGGGCGGGATGGAAAACCTGCGTGAGCTTACATCGTCAGACCGTACTTGCACAAGGATACTTTGGTGCCAGCATTTTATTGGATACCAAAGACGATGCGAAAATTACTGTAACCCTCGAGCACAACCGCCTAGAGAACAGATGCGCACTCACTGGACAAGTAGCGTCTCGAAAGGGTCTCTCATTGTGTGGTTTTTCCATCATTTGCTTCTTTATTTCTAGTACCACGGCCGCTGGATGAAAGAGCGCACGGTACGGCCTGCCGCGTGGAGCGACTTTCTATGGGAGAGGGCGTGTCAGCCGTAGGGTCAGTTGTGGCCGCTGCAGCGCGACGGGGCAGGGACAAGAGGGACAGGGAAACAAGTGGTGGCAGCTCCCTCGGGGCAGCAGCCGCAGCAAATTAGCTGCGTGGTTGTCACAACAGTGGCCCCCTCAGTTGTTGTAATCAGAGTTTTTTAATCTCATTTATCGCAGTGATGACACATAGTATATTTAGTAGACTACGAGGCGCTATCTAGTTGAAAAGCCAATTGATTTCGCCTGTGCGTGCCCAGCACCTGATGTATTTTTTTTTTTTTTCAGAGCCAGGCTCTTGCTTTGAGGCTGAAAGAAAAACCCACAATGCATGTAGCTGAACCATATGGCACTGAATGCGTGACAAAGTCGTTGTTCTCTTTATGAAGATGTGTTAAATTTACATCTTTCAATTTTTGGGGCGTTTATTCAGCACTTTCGTGTTTTCTCAGCCGGAATGCTTGACAATTTTTTGAACACTTGACAATAGACGTTCAGCTTTTGTATGCTGAAAGCGTATCAAAGAAACATAATTTGAGTAGTTTTTATGTTGTCCAGTACACGTTAGTGTGCCGAAAAGTAATTAAGCTTCGAACGCTGGATAAAAGTGGTTTGTACAAACATCGTCACCCCGTAACTTTTTTTATTGAAGAAGCAGTGAAAGTGTACATCATTAGAAGTAGCAATCGAATTTCTTGATATTTCTTACTGGGCAGGTGTGTGTGTGTGTGTGTGTGTGTGCATATATATATATATATATATATATATATATATATATATATATATATATATATATATATATATATATATATATATATATATATATATATATAGGTATGGGATATGGCACAACGGGAGTGTTGTCAACAAAGATAAATATATTTATTTCCCAACAGTTTCGGGAGGGGTCCTCCCTTCATCAGGGGATGAGTTATGCTAACATGAACTTCCAAACTTTGTTGCTGCCGCGTCCCTCACGCCTTGAAAGATGTTTGCGAGAGTGAGAGAGAATTAAAAAAAAAGAAAGAAAAAAGGAAAGAAAAGACAAAAAAAAAGAAAAAAAGAAAGTAAAAAAGAGGAAGAACCACTGTCAACACTGAGAACGAAACCAAATGTCCGTGTACGTCCACATCCGGTTCTTATCACGTGCTTATTATCGAACTCAAAGTTATTCTGGCTGAGTATCGAATGCAGTAAAGTCGACATCGTGTCCTCATCTAAGCACACCGGCACACTGGCCTTTTTGAAAGCTACGACTGTTGCGTTAATGCCATCTGACTGTGGGATGTTCGTGTAAAGTGACACTACGTCCATTGTAACAAGGATGCTATCGTTGGGAACCTCGAGTCCGCTGATTTCATGGAGAAAGTGGTTAGTGTCCTTAATGTATGAAGGGATAGTTGGAACAATATTCTTAGTGATGAAATCTAGCGTGCTTGACATTCTTTCTGTTACTGTGCCGTTGCTTGAAACAATAGGACGACCGGGGTAGTTGGCTTTGCGTATTTTAGGGAGAAAGTAAAACCGGCCTGGAGCAGGCTGAATCGGTTGCATTGCCTTGAGCATATCAGCCGTGATTTTTCTATTCTTACGCAGTGAATTTAGTTCACGAATTATTTCTGATACGAATAATTTAGTGGGGTCATCTTTGAGTTCTGCATAGAAGTTCTTGTCCTCCAGTTGCCGATAGCCTTCTCTCAGGTAATCAGTTCTATCTAATATTACTATCGCACCACCCTTATCCGCAGGCTTAATTACCAAGTCCGCTCGACGGCTTAGGAGCTCGAGTGACTTGAGCTCTTCCGGGGAGAGATTGTTTCTATAGCGCCTTGTTTTTGAACAAGCCGCTATGATGTCTTTTTGTACTGCCGATATATACATATCTAGGTGTCTGTCTTGCTGTTCAGGTGGTGACCAAGTTTTTTCTGAAGAACCAGGGAATACTGTTCGGCTCGGTTCGTGGTTACGGAAGTACTCCCGAAGGCGCATATTTCTAGCAAAGTTATTTAAATCCTGATACAATTGGACTTCACTAAATTTTCACTAGCCGGACAGAATGTTAAGCCCTTTGAAAGCAGTCTGATTTCGGTCGCTGATAGCTGTGCTGAAGAAAGATTAATTACACTCAAAAGCGCCGTTTCCTCATCCCGGCTGATATTTATCGGTGTCGCCGGTACATCTTCATATGTAGTAATTGTCTCAGTTACCCCATCCCACTCTAGTTTGCGACGCTTCCGCTCTTTTGTCACTGCTGTTTTTTGAGTTTCATACTTCTCGAGATCATTAATTTCCTCCTGGCTGAGATCAGACTGATGTCTAAGTGACAGTTCTTTCTCTTTAAGTTGAGATTTTCATTTGCTGTGCTGAATAATAATCTGCATGAGCTGCAGCGATGCATCATGAAGTGCTTTCTCCCACTGTGCTTGTTCTTCTGGATTTAATGTTGTCATTGCGAGATTAAGCTCGAGAGATAAGCCTTTCGGTACCGAATCACAGGTTGAGTATGATGTCAGCATCGAATAGTGGAGGTCGTACTTTACACGTTTCTCAATTATCTTCCTAATCTGTTGAAAAGAGCGTGATCGCGGTTTGGGGGAATGGACCATACCTGAACTCTTTGGCAGTGAGTTAGCGTTTGACCGTGCGGGTCGTCGTGCGGCTTCACTATAACTGCGGAGGTTGTAGGCCATCGTCGGTGAAGTTGGGCCAGCGACAGACCTCGGAGCAGGTGGCAAACAATTTTGTGGCGAGGAAGAGTTTGCGGACACCGTGTTTGCAGCAGGCGCTGGAGAGCCGGCACATACGGCGGCAGCGTTCCTGGCCGGCTGCAAGTTCTGCGGGTGCCAGCGGCTTGTTCTGGTGGTGAGTAGCTCTCTGAAGTGTAGCGCCAGCATCGCTACGCCCGGATGAAGGCCGTCGGCGGCGAGGACCCTCCAAAGCGACATCTCATGGAAGGCGTGGTCCAGGTAGAAAACACCACGACCAAGTTCTCCTCGATAGCACAAGCGGCGCACCTGATCTACGAAGCGGGATGCCTCCCTGTTAAACCAATGCACGAATCTCTTATTCGCACCTCAACGTCGGAGGGTCCTCGCCTGGGAGGGTCCGACTGCTCGTGTTGCACAACTGTTCACTGGTCACTCAGTATATGTAGGCCTAAGCAATCTCAGCTCTGTCATTGACGTCACCTATAGTAAAACTGTGTTAATTCAAAGTCACTGGGATCGTGAAAGATCTTTTAACTAGGCAGGTGTTTGAGTTAATGAAACACAGCAAAATTGGATGCAAGAAACTTTTAATTACTCAAAGTAATCAAAGCTGGTCCTTTGCTAGTTTGTGGTCCCAAGAGTTGAGCGCTCCAGCCGTACATGGTCTCAATTTCTAGCCATATACGGCGGGACTCGTTGCTGTCTGCGAGTTAGGAGGAGGGTAGAGAAAGAAAAATTGAACGACCTTTTGGTCAGCTGCAATATGCGCCTGTGGAAAAGATGTGCCTCACTGCGACACGATGTTGACATGCAGGTAGCATGTCACGTTCACCTCATAGCTTCAGCACATCACAATGCGGCCACTTGCCTATTCTTCATAGTAGGATATAGTGTGACCGAATTAGCTATGTGTTCTAGCTTAAAAACCGAGTTTTCAAAGCAGGTATTGCAGGCGAAAGCTCTACCAGCACTGCAAGTGTGGGAATTGCCGGAGCAACCGCCAAGAAGGGGTTCACATACATCACAAATTCCGTCCCGCCATACTTAATTATTTTTTTCTTTTACAGAAAGAACGGGTAAATCGTGAGAAGCATTCAACTTGCTGCTCACCACTGTTATAATGATGCATGTTTTCTTTTCCGCAGTTCAGCCTATCACAAGACCCCTTTTTTTTTTCTGGCAGCAGCAAGGCTGGGCATTTCACTTGGTACTCATTAGTCTCACTACATTCCCTTGCCTTGGGGTGGCCATCGTTTTTGCGAATTCGTGGCAATATCGGGGATGGAAATCTGATCATGACGCCCAAATTTTTTGATGTAGCAGTGCTAGTGTTGACCGTTGCTTCCAGTTATCCATTCAAACTTACATTGCAAAGTGTGGGACTGCATGAATTCTTTGAGCAAGGGAGGATTCTGAAATAACCAAGTTTAAATTATAATGATAAAATGAGGTTATACTGTAGTTTTTAGGGGGTAATTGGGAGACATGGCATATTGGAGGTGGATGAGTCACTATAACACTTCTGCTGAAAGCATTTTCTAGAGTATGTCCCCCACATGTGTGACTGTTGTATGGAGGAAACCTGATGATTTCTCATAGTGACAGCTCTTGGGAGGGAAATCAGGCTACATGTTCATGGATATTGCTATGAAAGTGGTCAGGGGCCTCACGCATGTCACCAAACTTGTTAGTGCTCTCCATGTATTTGTGACCATTGTCCCATGATAAGACCATAGCGTCTATGCAAGTCTTAGCTTGGTCAACCAAGTGTTCTAGATTGTGGCACTTAATCAAACCTCACATCTGAAACCAACACCCTCACTGCGCTGTATGAAGAAGCAGTGTTTGCAAGCATGTGCCCTTGTCATGGCAATAGCTTCACTTTGCTCAAGTTCTTCAAGTACAATTTGTCTTATGGTAAACACAAGATGGCAACATGTTATAGGACAAAACAATGGTGACCATTGTGAGTGTACTAAATCTAGGTGCAATGCAGCTAGCTTCGTGCATCTGAAGAGTGTGTTTAATCAGGTCTACTACTGACTCCAAGATGGGCTTGCTTATAAAGAAGCTGTACGCATCCACGGTGGTCAATTCAAGTAGACTGACCTTGCTTTCTTCCACGCAAGGGTCTGCAGGTTTGTGCAGTTTACCTTAATCCTTTTGCGATCTAAAAAAAAAAAACTTGCCTAAAATGATCCAAAAAATTTTTTCAGTCACTTTGTAGAGCATTTTTTTCCTAATGAAATGGTGCCATTGTTTCAATGAAACCATATTTCTATTTGTTTCTTTAATAGCGTAAAAAGATACTACATGCACGGAATCAAAGACTGCAATGCAATTAAAGGCAAGACACAACACGAGGAATCAAATCTATAAAAAAAAAACGTGCACGAGTGCTGCCATAAAGCGTCGAACACAACAACGATGGATTTAGTCATCATTGGTTCCATGTGGGACCAATTTTTGGTTTAGACTAGTGTAGTCGTCGTCGTTCTTTTTGTTAGTTGAAATCGCATGACAGCTATACTATTTATAGGTCACAAAAGGATTCATGGGATCCTGAATCGAAAATGAAGCTGCCCGATTGTAATTTTCCCTGCTTCAATAAGGATTATACATGGCAATTCCAAAATATTTTGGTGCAATATCCTGTCTATAATTAATAACGCTTTTTTGAAATTGAAGTTTTCTCGGGCTTCTAAACGACTATGTGAAATTATTTCATGACATCACTGAAAAGTCAGTTAAAAAAGCTGTAAACAGCGCTTTAAAGGGGTACTGATGAAAAAAACATTCGCCTCACAGTTTTGTTTTTTTTTTTTGTGCGATGTCTTGCTTGGGGCCTGTAGACATAACAGTGCATTGTTTGTTGTAGCACATGCCAGATAATTAATTACAGGCTTCTCATTATCAACTAGTTTTGGTTTGAGAGAGCAAACACAAGCCGCCGGGTGCAACTACCACCACCTAGCGTGTGCAGCTCTCGACCACATCAGCCCACAGAACTGTGACGCAGCTACGCACAGTCTGCATTAAGAACTCCTTTCAAATAAGAAATTGAACTGCAATGTCGCTACGCATAGAACTTTCAATATGTGCGCTACGGGTACACACTTGCGACCAGCCGCCTAAAGGTATAGACTGGTGGAACAAACGTGGCAAAATAAAAATGACTGTTGTGACGTCATCACAACTTGATTTATTGACTGCAGCATGATGACGTGAGGGAAGGAGGTTACCATTGGGTCCCTTTGAATGGTGGCAATACCTTCAGGGTTCAGACTTGAAAATCCCTGTAAAATGGTTTTTTAGCTACATTTACTGTTAATATTTTGCAGATTATATGTGCATGTTCACAGGAACCGGTCTGGGCTGCGAAATTTTGTGTTTTTACGTCATTGACTTGCTTTTGCTCCAAAATTATAGATTCATAGTTAGCTAGAAAAGAAAAAAAATATGACACGGCAATTTAAGCGCTTGAGCTGTGTATACTGTGGAAGTACTGCGAGTGATCTGCTTAGTTCCGCTTTCAAGTACATCTGGGCTCCGTCACTTGTTGCCTTCACTCGCTCAGCCCAGTGTTCCAGTGCATTACGTTTTTATGGCACGCTTTGGACGGCTTAGTCCTTGATATGTCTACCGCATGGGTTGTCAGACAAGTCTGCACAAGTGGAAGCAACATTTATGACAGGTTTACGGCACTGCAGTTGAGATGGTACCAGGTGAACACATAGCACCAGGTGCAGTTGTTGCCATCAGTATACTACCCTCCATTGAAAGCAGTGGTTGTGCAGTCAGCCAGCAGATTATGCTCCTCTTCAAGGCACTTACTCTATTATGACAACATTAATAATGGCATAATCCATCTTTCAGTTGACTTGCATAGTTGTCTCTAACACATATTGGCTTGCATGTGCCTTATTTTCAGGAGTTATACCTGAGCACGTGCAAGTAAGTTCTAGATTTCTGGGATGGTATGTCTTTTCAGTGGTATTGTCTGGTTTCTCTTATGTCATCACGTCATCTCTCTTGTTAGGTATTTTTGGTGCAACGCTATAATGTAATGTCACAGCTGTCCGTTTTGTAAATTTAATAATGGCCATCTCTGTCTTCCAGCAAAAGGTTCCTTCCGGCAGGTAAAAGAGGAGTTGCAAGAGACTACACCCAAGCGCAAACGCACCTCTCGAATCGACGCTTCCAAGTCTGGCAGCTCGCAGGCCACGAAGTCAAGACGGAGGTGATGCCGTCGGCATCAAAATGCTTTTTTTGCATAGGCATCATAGATTACGAGTGTAGAAAATATATATATATGTGTGTACAAAGTTGAAACAATAAAGCTGCAACACTGTTTAGTGCTCACAACAACACTCTTCAAGCAACATTTGCAGAAAATTTGAAAGAGGTCAGAGTTTGAGAGTGCCAGTTATGCTTTTTCCAACTTTTTGATGTCGACGCCGGGTATCGCGGTGACGCCGCGAAAGTCGCAACATGGCCTCCGAGATGGCAAGCATGCACGCCGTTTCGGAGCCATGGTCACAAAAATGTGTTTCGGCACACCTCCGCCACCTTAGATTTAAAGCTCTTATAACTCCGCAAAGTAGCGATGTATGTGGTTATTCACGCACCTCCTCTTTTTCTCCCCTCCTCGGACTTCGCCGAGGCTGGTATTGGCCTGCTGCAGATGCCGTCATGTGGGACCACTTGCAGTGTTCGTTTATTTGCAATCGCTCGCGACAACAATCTTAGCTCTAGAGGCGCGGGCTCCTTGGGCACAGCGCATCTGTTTAGAGGGATACAAACTTGTCCTTACGTGTGCGCTGTGCTGTGAAATACTTTTCACCAAGAATGACGTCGCTGTTCATTGCCGTGAGTGGTTGTTGCGCTTTCTGTTAGCAGAACAAGTGTAGTGACGGCCAGAAGCTTTTTATGACACCACCCGTTAAGCGCAATGAGTTGCGACAAAAGATATGGTTGCATAGAATCGTAAGTGCGAACTTCAGGCCGACATTTTCGAAGTTTCGACACTTCGCAAAGTTGCGAGTCTCTCACTATGAGTATGGTTCAATGTTTGCTCAATTCGATACCTGCTCTAACGCCGTAGACAAGTCGCAGTTAATTGTCAGCGTAGCTCTGGCTGACTGGGCTGGCCCTACGTCATCTTCTGGCGCCGACCTCCGACGACAGCGTAGCTCTGACCTACTGGACTTGCCCTACACCATCTCCTGACGCCAACAAGAGCTCTCGTAAGTGGTGGTGGGGAAGGAGGGATAAAAAGAATAGAAGGAAAATAGATGAATAAATAGACAGGCAAGTAGCGGAAAAAAAAAGGAGATAGGAAAGTGGGGATCCGGTCGAAGCAGTCCAAGGGCGGGGCGTCACAATGCGAGAGCTGCACGGCGTCAGGAGACCGCGGAGGGCGAACCAGGCGGCGGGAGCTACGCTGATGCCGGAGATCGCGAGGGCACAACCGTCCAGCTTGAACTCCTGCGAGCGAATCCAAGTGGTGCCCCGTCCTCGGACTCCTGTGACCGTGTTTCCATCTTTCCTCTCTCTCCTATTTCCTCGATATGTCCTCGCTCGCTGGCTCAGCGCATCTCTCTCTCTATACCTTTAATTATATCCCTTTAATCCCTTCTCACCCCCATCCCCTGTGAGCTACTGTTGAGGTGTCGCACCATGATGCAGCCAATTACGGGGCTCACTTTTCTTTTCAATCTTACAACCACTTCGGTTAATTGTGCAGGACGTTGTGATCTCTCTCAGATTTCATTATTGCTAATGCGGAGGCTGTATTTTTTTTTTTTTTGTCAACAATACAAGCTTACGTCTTCTGCTTGTCGTTATGACGATTGGTTTGTGTTAGCATGCACTTGAGAAGACGATCGAACTAATTGTGAAAGGCCCGTCGCGGTGGTCTAGTGGCTAAGGTACTCGGCTGCTGACCCGCAAGTCGCGGGATCGAATCCCGGCGGTGGCGGCTGCATTTCCGATGGAGACGGAAATGTAGGCCCGTGTGCTCAGATTTGGGTGCACGTGGGTGCACGTTAAAGAACCCCAGGTGGTCGAAATTTCCGGAGCCCTCCACTACGGCGTCTCTCGTAATCATATGGTGGTTTTGGGACGTTAAACCCCACATATCAATCAACTGATTGTGAAACTTCAAAGATTCTCTGCTGCTGTTGTAGCGCAACAAACAGGTTATGTTTCGGGTGCCATTCCGTTCGATGGCTGCGAGGAGGTCCACGACTCCACTGCGATTATTCTTTGGTTAAAGTGCTCATTTTGCTGTTGTATTAATTGAGTAAGCGTATCTACACGATCGGCGAGTGTAGGTACGAGGCAAGACGTTGTGGTCATCCACGCATTGAATTCTTTAACTGATTTCATCAGGTCAACAAGAGTGGGATTACTGATAGTAGTGGGTGTAAGTCCGTCCTGACTATTCGAAGTTTCCGCTTTGCGTTTAGGGGGAGGGGTTGCCTCCTCCTCCATTTGTGCCAGAGGTGTTTCAGGCATAATTTGGGGAGGGGGGGGGGGGTTATTTACTGGGTGCTGTTCTGAGTTCTTAAATTTACGAAGCCCCTCTTTAAGCATGTGGTTTTCCTCGCTTAAAGCGTTCATTTTCTGATTTGTTTAAGTTGAACTATCTCTGACTCTAACTTTTTCAATGAGTTTTGAGGTGCGGCCTCCTCAGACCTATGCTGGCTCCTGCGACCACGTCTGCCCACCTCAATTCGTGTGGTCCTGGTGTTCGGCTCTGTGACCTGGATCCGGACCTTGAATGGGGGCGGGATTTGGGCCGGCCCCGGCCCGTTGTGGTGGAAGAGGAAGAGTGTCCTGCTTACTTGCATCATTGCTGCTGGCTGTAGGCTTAGGCGAAACTTGTTGTTGGCGTTCCCAGCGGCGACGTGTCACGATGTAAGGGGTCTTGTAGAGTGCCCTGCAGGTCCTGTCGGCCGTCTGGTGGTTGCGTCCGCAGAGTTGGCATGTGGGTATACACTGGTGGTCTTCCGGGGGGCTCGGCGCCCCGCATCCTCAACACATACGATCTTGGGGATTCGGACACACATCCGCGCGGTGTTCCAGTCTGCGGCAGTGATAACATGTATCGACTTGTTTCCGGTATAGGGCGCATCGCAGTAGAGCTCCACCGTAGTGAACGTACATCGGTACCCTGAATGCCTCGAACAGCACGATCACTGCCGTTGTGTTGTTCAGCCTTTTAGCAGCCAATGCCGTGGATTTCTGGGTGTGACAACGCTGGCAGTGATGTCGCGGGTGCTATCTTTCAGGGGGATGCCGCTTATTACGCCTTTGGAAGTATAGTCCGGCGCCGCCTCGTAGGCACTGGTCTCATACGTGTTCTTGCCAACCGTGATGCGGGTTATACGTTGATATTTATCAGCATGTGCCTCGATGGGTATACTCACGACGATATTTTGTTGTAGATTAAAGGCACACCATGTCCTCATCTTGAGCTTCTTTCGGGATTGCTGCTGCTTGGTAGCAGCAATCCCAGCAGTAGAAGCACCGTCTCAGTGCTTGAGCTACTCGCATGCAATAGAAGGTGAGTGATAAGGCTTGAGTCGAGCTATGTACACGATGTCGCTCGAAGCTGACGATGATGACGTTGGATCGGCTGGAACGATCTCGTATGTAACGTCAGTCACCTGGCGAACGACGCGGTAGGGTCCAGTGTAGCGTGACAGCAGTTTTTCAGAAAGACCTACATGCCGAGTGGGGGGCCCGAGAAGGACAAGAGAACCCGGTCAAAAATGCACGTTTCGATGACGGGAATTGTAGAGCTGTCTTTGGTGCTCCTGTGAGGCCTGCAGACGGCTGCGGGCGAGTTGTCGTGCGTGGTCGGCCTGTGCGATGGTTTCGCCGGTATACTCAGTGACCGAGGGCAGCAAGGTGTCAAAGGGTAGGGCGGGTTCTCGGCCGTATGGCGAATAGCGAATAGCCGGCAGTTTCGTGACGTGACGAATTATATGCGAACGTCACAAATGGCAAATGAACCTCCCAGTCCTGGTGGTCGGCCGTTACGTATTTAGAATGCATGTCAGTTATGGTGTGGTTGAAGCGCTCCGCAAGACCTTCAGCGAACTGGGAGCGTGGGGGTAAACACAGACACAAAGCAAAGAGAAGGCACATAGCACGAGCGCTCAACTTGAGCGCTCGTGCTGTGTGCCTCCTCTTTGCTTCGAGTCTGTGGTTACCACCGCGCTCCCAGTTCGCTGAACTATCATGAATTACTAACTAGCCCACCTTTCTATCCTATTGCTCTGTAAGACCATTCGTTTGCGAATGGTATGTAGTGGCAAACTTGTGCTTGGCAGTGCAAGAGCACAAGATTTCATCAACGACAGCTGATATAAAGGTCCGGCCCCGGTCAGTGAGAAGTTGGAGTGGAGCTCCGTGTACTAAAATAATATAATATACCAGAAAGTCCGTCGCATCGGTTGCGCAACTCGTCGGAAGTGCTTGTGTGATAGCGTACCATGTCGCATAGTCAGTGGCGACAGCAATTCATTTGTTGCCTGATCTGGAAATCGGGAATGGGCCAAGCAGGTCGAGGTCAACTCGAAAAAAAGGTTCAGTGGGAATGTCGATCGGCTGAAGGAATCCAGCTGGTAAGGAGGATGGCTTTTTGCGGCGCTGGCAGGGGTCACAAGCGGGGACGTAGCGTCGAACAAAACGGGCAAGGCCCGGCCAAAAGAAACACACACATATGACGACGTACACACAAATACGACGACGTACACGGTCGTATGTGTGAGAGACGCCCAAGTGGCCCGCCAAGGGAGCGTCATGAAGTTGGTTGAGGACAGTCGCACAAAGATGTGCTGGTATGGCGGGGAGTAAGTCATGACCATATGGATCGAGGTTACGGCGATACAGGATCCCGTTTTTGACCAGAAACATTTGTAGAGATGCGTCGCGAGGCATTGATTCAAGCTTGTCAATGATAGCTTGCAGGGAAGCATCCCGGCGTTGTTCGTGGCCAAGAAGTGTGGCAGCTTGGGCAAGTTGGTATGGCATGACGATAGTTATAGCGCGAGAACGAAACGACAACACAGAGACGTGTCCTTGTTTCTGTGTCGTCGTTTTGTTCTTGCGTTATAACTATCGTGGTGGCCAAGGTTGAGTAGCTGCATCACAGACAGGTCTGGAAAGGTGTCAGTATGGGCAGCTTCTTCCACAGGGTAGCGTGATAAACAATCTGCATCTTGATGCAACCGCCCTGTTTTGTACGTTACGGCGAATGTGTATTCTTGTAAATGTAGGGACCAACGACCGAGGCGTCCTGTGGGATACTTGAGTGAGGCCAGCCAGCAGAGCGCGTGGTGACCGGTGACTACTCG